CCTTTACTCCAACCCACCCCCCAAAAAATTAAAAATAAATAAAAAATAAACAAAAATAAATAAATAAATGATAAAACAAAAAATAATAATAAAAAATAAAAATAAAAACATTGTAAAGTGGTTATCCCACTGGCTATAAGGTGAATGCACCTATTTGTAAGTCGCTCTGGATAAGAGCGTCTGCTAAATGACGTAAATGTAAATGTAAATGATTAGGCAGGGTATTGTGTTCCGAATTGGGATGTAAAACATTCTGCAACATCCCAGGCGAGACAGGTCAGTTGTGTTAAACCCATTTTATTTATTCCCAGATCAATCATGGCAGTGGACTCTATCAGCACTGAGCCGTGCATACAGAGGGGTATTGCTTTTCAGTCACACACACAAATGGTTATTTGTGCCATCATGGACTATTGCATTGTATGATTCAACATGGGAAACAAGGATGATCCATCAATCTTTGCAAAAAGCTTTTGTCTTTCGAATTTTGTTTGACAGCAAATAGACCTATCGCTCTATTCAATCCGTATTGCGGAAGTTCAGTGTTACAGCATGATTGAAATGTAAAGGCAATGTTCCCGTGTTAGTGGAGACTGCATTCACGTTAAACGCTGCATATTTCGGTTTAATTGGAAATTACCTTAAAATGTCTAATGAGCAATCTGTAACGATTCAGTGATACTGATTGAATAGAGCCCCTAATTTCAGATAGAGGTTAGCAAATCCAGTTATTTTTTGCAGTGGCCATAGGTACAGTGGGGAAAAAAGTATTTAGTCAGCCACCAATTGTGCAAGTTCTCCCACTTAAAAAGATGAGAGAGGCCTGTAATTTTCATCATAGGTACACGTCAACTATGACAGATAAATTGAGAATTTTTTTCCCAGAAAATCACATTGTAGGATTTTTAATGAATTTATTTGCAAATTATGGTGGAAAATAAGTATTTGGTCACCTACAAACAAGCAAGATTTCTGGCTCTCACAGACCTGTAACTTCTTCTTTAAGAGGCGCCTCTGTCCTCCACTCGTTACCTGTATTAATGGCACCTGTTTGAACTTGTTATCAGTATAAAAGACACCTGTCCACAATCTCAAACAGTCACACTCCAAACTCCACTATGGCCAAGACCAAAGAGCTGTCAAAGGACACCAGAAACAAAATTGTAGACCTGCACCAGGCTGGGAAGACTGAATCTGCAATAGGTAAGCAGCTTGGTTTGAAGAAATCAACTGTGGGAGCAATTATTAGGAAATAGAAGACATACAAGACCACTGATAATCTCCCTCGATCTGGGACTCCACGCAAGATCTCACCCCGTGGGGTCAAAATTATCACAAGAACGGTGAGCAAAAATCCCAGAACCACACGGGGGGACCTAGTGAATGACCTGCAGAGAGCTGGGACCAAAGTAACAAAGCCTACCATCAGTAACACACTACGCCGCCAGGGACTCAAATCCTGCAGTGCCAGACGTGTACCCCCTGCTTAAGCCAGTACATGTCCAGGCCCGTCTGAAGTTTGCTAGAGTGCATTTGGATGATCCAGAAGAGGATTGGGAGAATGTCATATGGTCAGATGAAACCAAAATATAACTTTTTGGTAAAAACTCAACTCGTCGTGTTTGGAGGACAAAGAATGCTGAGTTGCATCCAAAGAACACCATACCTACTGTGAAGCATGGGGGTGGAAACATCATGCTTTGGGGCTGTTTTTCTGCAAAGGGACCAGGACGACTGATCCGTGTAAAGGAAAGAATGAATGGGGCCATGTATCGTGAGATTTTGAGTGAAAACCTCCTTCCATCAGCAAGGACATTGAAGATGAAACGTGGCTGGGTCTTTCAGCATGACAATGATCCCAAACACACCGCCCGGGCAACGAAGGAGTGGCTTCGTAAGAAGCATTTCAAGGTCCTGGAGTGGCCTAGCCTGTCTCCAGATCTCAACCCCATAGAAAATCTTTGGAGGGAGTTGAAAGTCCGTGTTGCCCAGCGACAGCCCCAAAACATCACTGCTCTAGAGGAGATCTGCATGGAGGAATGGGCCAAAATACCAGCAACAGTGTGTGAAAACCTTGTGAAGACTTACAGAAAACGTTTGACCTGTGTCATTGCCAACAAAGGGTATATAACAAAGTATTGAGAAACTTTTGTTATTGACCAAATACTTATTTTCCACCATAATTAGCAAATAAATTCATTAAAAATCCTACAATGTGATTTTCAGGATTTTTTTTTCCTCATTTTGTCTGTCATAGTTGACGTGTACCTATGATGAAAATTACAGGCCTCTCTCATCTTTTTAAGTGGGAGAACTTGCACAATTGGTGGCTGACTAAATACTTTTTTTCCCCACTGTATGTACTGGTATAGAAAACTGAAGGCTGTTTGTCAATTGATAGATCTAATAAAACATACTTTTATAAAATACGGAATTTCTACTGAAGTCCTGTGGTTTTCTTTTTAAAGCATCTCAGGAGAAAGATCTGGAAACATTATTGAAATGTCACCATAGTTATACAATGCATATTCAGGGTATATAATGACCTTCTTCTCTAATAAAAAGAGACATAGAACACTTATTCAAGAAATCCAACATACAGTTGAAGTCGGAAGTTTACATACACCTTAGCCAAATACATTTAAACACAGTTTTTCACAATTCCTGACATTTAATCCTAGTAAAAATTCCCTGTCTTAGGTCAGTTAGGATCACCACTTTATTTTAAGAATGTGAAATGTCAGAATAATAGTAGAGCGAATTATTTATTTCAGCTTTTATTTATTTCATCTCATTCCCAGTGGGTCAGAAGTTTACATACACTCAATTAGTATTTGGTAGCATTGCCTTTAAATTGTTTAACTTGGGTCAAACATTTCGGGTAGCCTTCCACAAGCTTCCCACAATAAGTTGGGTGAAATTTGTCCCATTTCTCCTGACAGAGCTGGTGTAACTGAGTCAGGTTTGTAGGCCTCCTTGCTCGCACACGCTTTTTCAGTCCTGCCCACAAATGTTCTATAGGATTGAGGTCAGGGCTTTGTGATGGCCACTCCAATACCTTGACTTTGTTGTCCTTAAGCCATTTTGGAAGTATGCTTGGGGTCATTGTCCATTTGGAAACCCATTTGCGACCAAGCTTTAACTCCCTGACTGATGCCTTGAGATGTTGCTTCAATATATCCACATAATTTTCCTGCCTCATGATGCCATCTATTTTGTGAAGTGCACCAGTCCCTCCTGCAGCAAAGCACCCCCACAGCATGATGCTGCCACCCCTATGCTTCACAGATGGTGTTCTTCGGCTTGCAAGTTCCCCCGTTTTTCCTCCAAACATAACGATGGTCATTATGGCCAAACAGTTATATTTTTGTTTCATCAGACCAGAGGACATTTCTCCAAAAAGTACGATCTTTGTCCCCATGTGCAGTTGCAAACCGTAGTCTGTCTTTTTTCTGGCGGTTTTGGAGCAGTGGCTTCTTCCTTGCTGAGCGGCCTTTCAGGTTATGTCGATATAGGACTTGTTTTACTGTGGATATAGATACTTTTACCTGTTTCCTCCAGCATCTTCACAAGGTCCTTTGCTGTTGTTCTGGGATTGATTTGCACTTTACGCACCAAAGTACGTTCATCTCTAGGAGACAGAATGCGTCTCCAGCCTGAGCGGTATGACGGCTGCGTGGTCCCATGGTGTTTATACTTGCGTACTATTGATTGTACAGATGAACGTGGTACCTTCAGGCGTTTGGAATTTGCTCCCAAGGATGAACCAGACTTGAGGAGGTCTACAATTTGTTCTGAGGTCTTGGCTGATTTCTTTTGATTTGATTTAAAGGCACAGTCAACTTAGTGTATGTAAACTTCTGACCCACTGGAATTGTGATATAGTGAATTATAAGTGAAATAATCTGTCTATAAACAATTGTTGGAAAAATTAATTGTGTCATGCACAAAGTAGATGTCCTAACCGACTTGCCAAAACTATAGTTTGTTAACAAGAAATGTGTGGAGAGGTTGAAAAACAAGTTTTAATGACTCCAACCTAGGTGTATGTAAACTTCTGACTTCAACTGTAGGTGCATGAGAAAACAATTTTATTGATTGCACAGTGGAACTAGGACGTCAATAATATTGTTTCCAGAGTATTTAGATAAAAACATTCCACATACAGCACTTCCCCTATTCCTTGTTTTTATCTTCTTACCACCACAGAGTCAAAACACTATAATCACAATAAGCCATCATCCATACATCTGTTCTACAGTAGTTGTGCGCTACGCAGCTGTACCAGGGAGAGAACACAGTGCTTCTCTCCTAGGGTCCTTCTAAAGTTTACTGTGTGAGATTGTGTCTCTTGTTATCTTTCATGGCCAAGGGTGAAACTGGCCTCTTCCTCAATGGAGGAGACTTGGCCTTTCTGGTGAGCCGCCAAGGTTGTTGCTGTTTATCCACTGTCAGGTTCAGGTCCAGGGTCTTCTTGTGCCATATAAGTGGGGGGGGGGGCCTGGTGCCGGTTCTCAGGGGAACCATAGGAGAAGCTGTGTGCTGGGGGACACAGCTCAGTGCTCCAGCCCCTGCCAGTCTCTCTCTTACTGTACGCTAGGCTATCACTCAGATCCATTGTAACGTATACTTAACTGATACATTAATATTAATAAAATCTCTCTTTGTATACAACAACATTTAAATCATTTGTGGAGATTAAGGCAGTCCTTCAATTTTTACAAACAAGACATAAAACATATCTGAATAGGAAAAACAAAGATAAAAATGTCCTTTGGACTTGATAGGCTACGGTACTCGAGTCCCTTCATATCCGTCCTCTTAAAGTTTCAATCTCTCAAGGAAGAGGTCTTGAAATGTTAACCAAAATGTCACCCAGACACTCCTCTTGTAGTTTCTCTGATAGTCATAGATCAATTCCCATGAGTTCCACTAGGCCTCAGAAGCCTGGGGCTAGATTTGACAATCAGCTGGCTGGAGAAGCCTCGAGGCTGAAGTTATACGTGCACTGAGGGCACACTTCTGTTGAGCACCTGGACACGCATCAGCTGTACACTGGTCATGATCTTCTTCTGGTGGCCCATCAGTGTCACCCCCAGCCTGTGGATATCCCTGTAGGACACACAGAGATGGAACAGAGTCACACATGAACATACTCATCACACATATGAACACACACACACACACATACTCACACTCACACAGAGCCTAAATTACTGTTAAGCATCGATGACATTTGGATGATGTGATTGGAGTGTGATGCCCTGGCCTTGCCTCTCACCCTTGGTTCATGCCTATGATGTGGCCTAGGGTCAGGTAGCCTCCTGCAGCAAAATGGTCCTTGTATCGGCCCATCTTGATGGTGTCCAGCCACTCATCCACAGAACTACAGCTGCTGAAGTCTGGGATACTTCTGTCCATCATGGGTGGTGTGCCTAACCTGAGAGAGAGAGAGAGAGAGAGAGAGAGAGAGAGAGAGAGAGAGAGGAAGAGAGGCAGAGAGCGAGAGAAGTGAGAACCTAGAGATGCTTAGCTTCTGTAGACGAGAGAATACCAATCGCCAACGTTAATCTCCAGATCTCCAAGAGGCAACCAGGAGACCCAGAGAATTCGACGACTAAAGAGAAAGAGGAAGAAAAGGAGATAGGAAAAATATACAGACAGAAGGGAGAGGGGAGGCATGAACCAAGAGAGAGATGTGGAAAAAAAGAGGTGGAGAGGAAAAAAAGGTATTGAAATGCACTAGCAGCTAAGGCAGAAAATCAATAGCAGTTAAAATGATAGAGAAGGGGCTGCTCTGATTGCAGGATGGCCGGTTTGGCTAGATTAATACGGGGAGAAATCCTTAACACCCCCCTCCTCCCCCTCTCCTCCTCCTCTCCTCATCCCTCCAGCTCCCCCGACAGCACCAGTAACTCTATGGGACCATGGATCTGAAAGAAGCAATTTAACACAGGTCCAACTCTAACTCTAGCCGCTCTTCTCTCTGCTCTCTGATTCCCCGACGATCAATGTCAATATCATAGCCAGGCTCTTATTTAACAGAGCGCACGTCTATCAGAGATGATCTTATTAGAAAATGAACACGGCCATTCCTTGCTCTCTTAAGGCAACATGTCTCCCTCGCGTCAGCCTGGGAAGTTTGAGGGAAACTTTGGGCTGTAACTTTATCCCACAGCTCATGTTTGACAGATGAGTAGAGAATGGATTTGCAAGGCGTTGTCCAATGATTACCAAGCAATCTGTATTGCCCAGGAGATGGTTGCCTAGCAGCCTGTTCACCTGCACAGTGTGTCCATAGACTTGAGGTTCTCCGGGTTCCGGATGAGCTTGTCTACAACCGTAACGATCTGGCAGAACCGGGGCCTCTCGTTGCGGTCCTTCTGCCAGCAGTCCAGCATGAGAGTGTGTAGAGCACCTGGACAGCCCATAGGAGCAGGTAGCCTGTAGCCCTCCTCTACTGACTTTATCACCTACAAGCGCGCGCACACACGCGCACACACGCACACACACACACACACACACACACACACACGCACACGCACACGCACACGCACACGCACACGCAACGCACACGCACGCACACGCACACGCACACACAACACACACACACAACACACACACACACACACACAACACACACACACACACACAAACACACACACACACACACACACACACACACACACACACACACACACACACACACACACACACACACAGAGAGAGAGAGAGATATGCAGGTATCATCACATGCACATGTTTTCTTATGAGTGTGTGTGTGGTTTCCATGTACTATGTATGTGTGTGTGTGTGTGTGTGTGTGTGTGTGTGTGTGTGTGTGTGTGGTGTGTGTGTGTGTGTGTGTGTGTGGTGTGTGTCCACTCCACTCACATCTCTATTGGTGAGGTTCCAGTATGGCCTCTCTCCATATGACATGACCTCCCACATGACCACCCCATAGCTCCACACGTCACTGGACGAGGAGAACTTCCTGTAGGCGATGGCCTCCGGCGCTGTCCAGCGGATTGGAATCTTACCACCCTGAAGGGAACAGGACAGCACTAGAACTAGAACCACCACTGGCATCACCACGGAATAGAAAACAGAACCAGAACTAGAACAACCACTGGCATCACCACAGAATAGAAAACAGAACCAGAACTAGAGAACTAGGGCTACAACAGTATTATAACCTAGTGTATATTAGAGTTTTAGAATTTAGCTATCATTAGAGTGTGTGTGAACTCACGCTGGTGGTGTATGCTGCATCAGGATCGTCCTCCAGGACTCTGGACAGGCCGAAGTCAGACACCTTACACACCATATTGCTGTTGACCAGGATGTTACGAGCTGCCAGGTCGCGGTGGATGTAGCCCAGGTCTGCCAGGTAGGTCATACCCGCCGCAATGCCACGCATCACGCCCACCAACTGGATTATAGTGAACTGACCATCATGTCGCTGAGAGGAGGAGATGAGGAGGAGAAGAATGGGGATTGAGATTGAGAGAGATTGTAGTGTTAGTTACAGGCATATTGATTGACATTTCAGATGTCAAGTGCTTCAAAAACTATTTTAAAGTATCTACAAGAGAAAGAAAGAGGGAGAGTGAGAGTCGGAGTGAGAGTGGGAGAGCGGGAGAGTGAGAGCGTATGGAAAAAATAGATGAAATCCTTATAAAAGCAACAAACCCTCAGGAAAGAGTCCAGAGATCCATTCTCCATGTACTCAGTGATGATCATGACTGGTTTACCTGGAGGAAGGGAGGGGGGTGGAAAGGGAGGGAATGAGGGGGGAAAGGAGTAAGGGAGGGGGGGGGGGGGGGTAAGGGAATAAGGGATGGAGGAAGGGAGAGAGGAAGAGTTATTCCACAGTAACTATACAGGAGTAACTTACACCAGGTAGGCGTATGCATAGAAATAAGAATGAATAGAAAGGGCGTTTCCATTCAAGTCAATGATGGCATAATGGGTGGACTGGCAGCCATTTTGAGTGTACCCATGCCAGGAAGTAAAAGCAGGAAGTGTACCCTTCAATCTGTGCTGTGATAACTGACATTACAAAAATACATTCCACTGCATGAGCCATATCAGTTAGCATTATTTGAATGAACATTCTATATTATCATGGCAATCCAGCATCAGTTGATAGAACATTCCAAAAGACCATGGAAATTATTGCATCACAATACCAGGCAGCCATTGCGAGTTTACCAGTCAATTGCCAGGGTTAGAGCTTCCATTAGCATCTGGTCTATTCATTCTTATTTCAATGACTGTATGTACTTACTTATTGAATTGAATTAATACGCTGAAAAGACATTGAATTGCATCAAACTGAAAATGGAGTTGAATCAAATCAAATTGAATTTTACTGCGTGTGACCACTCCCTCCAGGTGGATGACGTTAGGGTGGTCAAACTGGGCCATGATTGATGCCTCGGCCAGGAAGTCCCTCCTCTGCTTGTCACTGTATCCTGCCTTCAGAGTCTTCAAAGCCACTGGAATGTCTCTCTTCCCTGGGAGACGCATCCGGCCATAACACACCTCCCCAAACTCACCTGCACACACACACACACACGTTTAAGTATATGCCTCAATATAGACTAATCTATTCATTGAGTGACAGATTAATTCGAACAAAAATCAAATGTTCCTAATCTCATCTCCTGCTTTGTGCTTTGAAAAGTCACAGAACACGTAATTACATTCTTTCCCCTTTCCGTCTAATGTGTCTTATCAACAACTACAACTCTAAAGGTAATTGTTAACAGCCATGATTATGACACCTGTGTCTTACCATGTCCTGCTGTGCCAGTGTGATGTTAGTATTCCCTGTGTGTCTCTGTGTTTGATTGACAGCCACATGCGACGCTCTGATTCCACTGTGCCATCCCTCTCCGCTGCACACCGCAGCCTTTACCTCAGCCAATGATTTTCAGTTTACCTGACCCAATGATTTTCTCTATTCTGATCCTGGAAGCTTCAATTTCTCGGGCAAACTCATGGACGGCCTGGCAGGGGTCCTCGTAGGTGTGTGGGTCGATGTAGAAGCGCGCGTCAGGGAATAACACTAAAATAAACAACATTAGCATCTGGTCCACATACCACTGGATGGAAACAATATGCTACATGAGACTGTCACAGGAATGAGAGGGATAGGTAGATAGAGAGAGAGGGGGAGAGATACACACACACAGAGAGAGAGAGAGAGAGAGAGAGAGAGAGAGAGAGAGAGAGAAGGAGGAGAGAGAGAGAGGAGAGAGAGAGAGAGAGAGAGAGAGTGAGAGAGAGAGGAGAGAGAGAGAGACAGAGCGAGAGAGAGAGAGAGAGAGAGGAGACAGACAGACAGACAGAAGACAGACAGACAGCAGACAGACAGAACAGACAGACAGGACAGACAGACAGACAGACAGACAGACAGAGAGAGAGAGGAGGGTGGGAGAGAGAGAGACTGAGAGGGAGAGGAGGGAGAGAGAGGGCAAGGATGGAGAGAGAGACTGCAGAACTGAGATTTTCTACCTCAATAACTCTGAATCAAAAGGGAAGTGAACTGTGTACACTGAGGATGAACATTATTTTATTGAACCTTTATTTAACCAGGCAAGTCACACTGGAGTGAAGGCTAATACAAACATACCATGGCCATTCTGGTAGTGCATCTTCTCCTCATCAGAGTCCTGGAAGGCCTTGCTATAGCCACAGTGTCTGTACATCAAACACACACAGAAAAATGAAAATGATGTTTTCTATTTTCTATTTCCAAGTCTTCTCAGCTATGTGGTTTATAGAGCATCGAATTGTCTGTCTCATCATAGCAGTTAATTAACTCTAAAAGGCATTTTAATCATCCAAGGATGTTGAGATATTTAAGTCTTCAGAATAGTTTAGAGTCACACGGGGATACTCCACACTTCTCACAGTTTTCCTCTCTTTCTATCTTTCAGAAAACGCTATCATGCATTGAAGTTGGAAATAATTAAATCCACAAATTATTTGTGGAAGATGTAAGTTGTAGACATCAAAAGTGAGAAGGAGAGGGATAAGTGAAAACATTTTCATTGTTATTTAACTAACATGAACCTCCATAATAATTAAACTCACTGTTTAAAAGTACAAAACTCAGCTGGGTCTGAACACAACCTATGCATAAACTCTGGGAGATGACCTGACTTTCCACTGCTAACAAACACATGCCATAATCTGAGAACTACTCTGGGCTAATTAAAGCATTAGTGGAACAACGTTAGAAAGATTATCTCCTTGGTTTCCTATGCTGTGGGACTGTGGGACTGTTGGACTGAAGATAGACACACCATGGGAACAGTTACTGTAGCACTGGAGCCTATGGGGGTAAAAAAATATGTTTTACCCCCATTTAGCAGACGCTTTTATCGAATGCGACTTACAGTCATACGTTTTTTTACGGATGGGTGATCGGAGGAATCAAACCCACTATCCTGGCATGGCAAGAGCCATGCTCTACCAACTGAGCTACAGAGAACCACTAGAGGGTATTAGAGGTGATCCTATGGATTTCAATGCATATGGGTATAGGACATAAGAGACAGATTAAGGATAAAAAATAAAATACTAATATGAATGTTGATCATAAAATAAATGAATCCTATGGAGACAATGGTACAATTTACTTGAACCCTTGTTGAGGTAGTGTAAGAAATATCCCACATACGTATATGAGTGACGTAGAGTCAGAGAGGACTCATCCACATCACGGGTAGTGGTGTAGTGTAAGAAAGAGTTGCCTTGCCGTTTCCTGCAGATGACGATGGCCAGGAAGGTGACCAGGCCAGAGACCAGGGCCATACAGATCCAGATGATGGTCATAGTGTCGTAGCGCAGAGGAACTGGACACACACAACAACACAACCAGTTTGTGTGAGAGTGTGTGTGTGTGTGTGTGTGTGTGTGTGTGTGTGTGTGTGTGTGTGTGTGTGTGTGTGTGTGTGTGTTCAGTGCTCTTTAAGGCTTAGGTCAGCAGCAGCAGCTTTCCTGACAGGGGTGACCCTCACACAAAGCACATGTCTATAGCATTAAGGGATTGTCTGAAGGCTTCCTGGTCCCACTGACACTCATGGCTCTTTAACCCAGCACCATTCTGTCCCACATGAAAATATACTATAATATACTATGGTATAAATACTGTAGTATTACCATATTTATATACTATACTATTCACTGTAGTGTTTTTGCAGACTTTACTGTAGTATTCATGGCAGTTTTTTTGAGAAAATGACCGTAGTATACTATAGTATTCACTGTAGTGTTTTTGTGTACATGACTGTAGTATACTATAGTATTCACTGTAGTGTTTTGCAGACATGACTGTAGTATACTATAGTATTGTTTTTGTGGAATATACTGTAGTATTCACTGTAGTGTTTTTGCGGACATACTACAGTATACTATAGTACTATAGTACACTGCACTAAATTATCACTTTAGTGTTTTTGCAGACTTTACTATAGTATTCACTGCAGTGTTTTTACTATAGTACTATAGTGAATACTATAGTATATTACAGTCATGTCCGCAAAAACAACAATTTGGAATTTAACACAATGTTTCTAATAAAAATAAGAAGTGATGCAGTCAGTCTCTCTGGCCAAGACAGACTGGCATGCATAGTATTGATATTAGCCCTCTGATTAAAGTGAAGAGCAAGATGTGCCTCTCTGTTCTGGGCCAGCTGCAGTTTGTCCTTTTTTGCAGCTCCTGACCACATGACTGGGCAATAATCAAGATAAGATCAAACTAGAGCGAGCAGGACTTGCTTTGTGGAGTGTCAAAATGGACAGAACAGTGGTGTTCACTGTAGTGTTTTTGTGGACATGACTGTGGTATACTATAGTATTTACTGTAGCATACTATAGTATTCACTGTAGTGATTTTGCAGACTTTACTGTAGTATTCACTGTAGTGTTTTTGCAGACATTACTGTAGTATATTGTAGTAACACCTGCTTACTAGGGTTAGCTAAAATGACTACGCCAGTTACTGTTTAATGAGGAGAACACCTCAACCAGAACATAAGACACAGTTTAGAGGATTAGGTTTGCTTGTTTGACACAGATAAATAACACACATTAAGAAGACACCAAAATTACTTCTCAGATCTGTTACTTCCACTAGATAGCTTTCTGAAATACAACAATGCTTTCAGAGATTCAGCTGACCAAGTTCACAAAAAACAGTGACAAACAATACTGTACTTCTGATGGTAGAAAAGAAAGAAGAGTTAACCACTGCATTTACATAAACAATAGATATTTAAAAAATACAAATGACTTTACTTAAAGACAGTCACCTTATTGGAGGGTGCTGCTAATAAACTGCCTGGACCTCAAACCAGCAAAGCCTCTCCAAACAAACCAACTGAAAACAAAATGACATTATTGCAGTGTCTTTACATAATGAACATCTTGAATATTGCCACACATGAATAAATTCACTGATGGTCAAACTCAACACATACCATTCAGAACAATCGACAACACCCCAAACATTTCTTCAAGACAGCATGATCACAAAATGGTTGGTCACATGAATAAACCAATAGCAACACCACCATATACAGTGAGGGAAAAAAAGTATTTGATCCCCTGCTGATTTTGTACATTTGCCCACTGACAAAGAAATGATCAGTCTATAATTTTAATGGTAGGTTTATTTGAACAGTGAGAGACAGAATAACGACAACAACAAAAAATCCAGAAAAACGCATGTCAAAAATGTTATAAATTGATTTGCATTTTAATGAGGGAAATAAGTATTTGACCCCTCAGCAAAACATGACTTCGTACTTGGTGGCAAAACCCTTGTTGGCAATCACAGAGGTCAGACATGTCTTGTAGTTGGCCACCAGGTTTGCACCCATCTCAGGAGGGATTTTGTCCCACTCCTCTTTGCAGATCTTCTCCAAGTCATTAAGGTTTCGAGGCTGAGGTTTCGAACCTTCAGCTCCCTCCACAGATTTTTCTATGGGATTAAGGTCTGGAGACTGGCTAGGCCACTCCAGGACCTTAATATGCTTCTTCTTGAGCCACTCCTTTGTTGCCTTGGCCGTGTGTTTTGGGTCATTGTCATGCTGGAACACCCATCCACAACCCATTTTCAATGCCCTGGCTGAGGGAAGGAGGTTCTCACGCAAGATTTGACAGTACATGGCCCCGTCCATCGTCCCTTTGATGCGGTGAAGTTGTCCTGTCTCCTTAGCAGAAAAACACCCCCAAAGCATAATGTTTCCACCCCCATGTTTGACGGTGGGGATGGTGTACTTGGGGTCATAGGTAGCATTCCTCCTCCTCCAAACACGGCGAGTTGAGTTGATGCCAAAGAGCTCGATTTTGGTCTCATCTGACCACAACACTCACCCAGTTCTCCTCTGAATCATTCAGATGTTCATTGGCAAACTTCAGACGGGCATGTATATGTGCTTTCTTGAGCAGGGGGACCTTGCGGGCGCTGCAGGATTTCAGTCCTTCACGGCGTAGTGTGTTACCAATTGTTTTCTTGAGATCATTGACAAGATCCTCCCGTGTAGTTCTGGGCTGATTCCTCACCGTTCTCATGATCATTGCAACTCCATGAGGTGAGATCTTGCATGGAGCCCCAGGCCGAGGGAGATTGACAGTTATTTTGTGTTTCTTCCATTTGCGAATAATCGCTCCAATTGTTGTCACCTTCTCACCAAGCTGCTTGGCGATGGTCTTGTAGCCCATTCCAGCCTTGTGTAGGTCTACAATCTTGTCCCTGACATCCTTGGAGAGCTCTTTGGTCTTGGCCATTGTGGAGAGTTTGGAATCTGATTGATTGATTGCTTCTGTGAACAGGTGTCTTTTATACAGGTAACAAGCTGAGATTAGGAGCACTCCCTTTAAGAGTGTGCTCCTAATCTCAGCTCATTACCTGTATAAAAGACACCTGCGAGCCAGAAATCTTTCTGATTGAGAGGGGGTCAAATACTTTTTTCCCTCATTAAAATGCAAATCAATTTATAACATTTTTGACATGCGTTTTTCTGGATTTTTTTGTTGTTTTTCTGTATCTCACTGTTCAAATAAACCTACCATTATAGACTGATCATTTCTTTGTCAGTGGGCAAACGTACAAAATCAGCAAGGGATCAAATACTTTTTTCCCTCACTGTAGACTATACACAGGTACAAAGCTATCACCTGAACATGACAAAGGGGTGTTTTTATACATACCTGCAAGTTCTCCACCTACCACCCATGACTGCATGGCCAGGCACGACTCCAACACCATCATTAAGTTTGCCGACGACACAACAGTGGTAGGCCTGATCACCGACAACGATGAGACAGCCTATAGGGAGGAGGTCAGAGATCTGGCCGTGTGGTGCCAGGACAACAACCTCTCCCTCAACGTGACCAAGACAAAGGAGATGATTGTGGACTACAGGAAAAAAAAGAGGACTGAGCACGCCCCCATTCTGATCGACGGGGCTGTAGTGGAACAGGTTGTGAGCTTCAAGTTCCTTGGTGTCCACATCACCAACGAACTATCATGGTCCAAACACACCAAGACAGTCGTGAAGAGGGCACGACAAAGCCTATTCCCCCTCAGGAGACTAAAAAGATTTGGCATGGGTCCTCAGATCCTCAAAAAATTCTACAGCTGCACCATCGAGAGCATCCTGACTGGTTGCATCACCGCCTGGTATGGCAACTGCTTGGCCTCTGACCGCAAGGCACTACAGAGGGTAGTGCGTACGGCCCAGTACATCACTGGGGCAAAGCTCCCTGCCATCCAGGACCTCTATACCAGGCGGTGTCAGAGGAAGGCCCTCAAAATTGTCAAAGACTCCAGCCACCCTAGTCATAGACTGTTCTCTCTGCTACCGCACGGCAAGTGGTACCGGAGTGCCAAGTCTAGGTCCAAAAGACTTCTCAACAGCTTCTACCCCCAAGCCATAAGACTCCTGAACAGCTAATCATGGCTACCCGGACTATTTGCACTGCCCCCCCACCCCATCCTTTTTACGCTGCTGCTACTCTGTTAAGTAAGTATTTATGCATAGTCACTTTCACTCTACCCACATGTACATATTACCTCAACTACCTCAACTAGCCGGTGCCCCCGCACATTGACTCTGCAACGGTACCCCCCTGTATATATAGCCTCCCTACTGTCACTTTATTTTACTGTATATATAGCCTCCCTACTGTCACTTTATTTTACTTCTGCTCTTTTTTTCTCAACACTTTTTTTGTTGTTGTTTTATTCTTACTTTTTTGTTTAAAATAAATGCACTGTTGGTTAAGGGCTGTAAGTAAGCATTTCACTGTAATGTCTGCACCTGTTGTATTCGGCGCATGTGACCAATACAATTTGATTTGATTTGATTTGATTTTAATAAGGGTGCCCACTGACCAAAACTTTGGTTCCCAGCCTGCCATACAATATTTTTCATGTACAAGATTGTAACTGATTGAGGTTTAGGTGAGGGTTATGCCCATCTAGTTAAAGAGCTGGCGGAGGCAGAGATGCAGTTCAGTTTAAGTCTTTCTAGATTCAGCTAATGGAGATGATACATGGCAGGGAACTACAAGTACCAAAGAGAACAGATCAATAGACTCAAAATGGCTGTTTGAGATGTTAGCATTTCGCCGCCATTGGTGGCCAATATCAACTATACAAAACAAACAATGGTGAGGGAGTCCTCTTCTAATCTCTTTTAAATAATAAAAGGCTTGTCCTCACATTTCAATGACGCATACTGGTTGTTGTTTGTGAAAGTTTGTTTGTGAGAGTTGTTTGGATATATTTATATACATCATATGTATATTTATTTACATTCTTGCTCATTCTGATATTATTATTCCAAAAAAAAATTCTGGATGATGTGCTTATAGTTTTTTTTATTGGTAGGTATTACTGCACTGTTGGAGCTTGTTCTTCTTCTTCTTCAATTAGGTTTTATGGTGGTTGGCATCCAATATGTTGCATTACCACCCAATAAACTTTAATTTGATTTTGAGTTGTTTGTCGTGAATACTCCAGTAAAGTCCGCAAAAACACTACAGTGAATACTAGTCATGCCCGCAAAAATACTATAGTATACTACAGTACTCTGCAAAAAAAACAGTGAATACTATAGTATACTACAGTAGTCCGCAAAAACACTACAGTAAATACTACAGTAAAGTCTGTAAAAATACTACAGACAGGTGGTGTTGGGTGAGGTTAAGTTGGCACCAATAGACACCAATAGAATACAAAGCACTTTGAAACCTAATGAGAGATTCTACAAATGCAAATAGTGCTCCACTCTCATTCTCTTACTTGCTTTCCCGGTCTGGATCTCCACGTTCTGGCTGAAGTGTCCACAGCCTGCCGAGGTTCTGGCCCGGACCTGAAAGATGTACCTGGTACCAGGCTTCAGGCCAGACACACGGGCCGTGGTCCCCTTGGCCTTCAGGGTGGAGTAACTTTGCTGCTCCTTATCCTGGTGGAGGAGAGCTGTGATAAAGACAGTCTGTACAAAGCAGTGTTGATATTGCAGACTTATCTAGTAGTAACCCCAGGAGTTTGCCCAGATTGAGATACAGTTGAAGTTGGAAGTTTACATATGCCTTAGCCTTAGTCTTAGGTCAGTTAGGATCACCACTTTATTTTAAGAATGTGAAATGTCAGAATAATAGTACAGAGAATGATTTATTTAATATTTTATTTCTTTCTTCACATTCCCAGTGGGTCAGAGGTTTACATACACTCAGTTAGTGTTTGGTAGCATTGCCTTTAAATTGTTTAACTTGGGTCAAACGCTTCGGGGTAGCTTCCCACAAGCTTCCCACAATAAGTTGGGTGAATTTTGGCCCATTCCTCCTGACAGAGCTGGTGTAACTGAGTGAGGTTTATAGGCCTCCTTGCTTGCACACACTTTTTCAGTTCTGCCCACACATTTTCTATAGGATTGAGGTCAGGGCCTTGTGATGGCCACTCCAATACCTTGACTTTGTTGTCCTTAAGCCATTTTGCCACAACTTTGGAAGTATGCTTGGGGTTGTTGTTCATTTGGAAGACCCATTTGCGACCAAGCTTTAACTTCCTGCCTGATGTCTTGAGATGTTGCTTCAATATATCCACATAATTTTCCTTCCTCATGATGCCATCTATTTTGTGAAGTGCACCAGTCCCTCCTGCAGCAAAGCACCCCCACAGCATGTGGTCCTCTGTAGCTCAGCTGGTAGAGCATGGCGCTTGTAACGCCAAGGTAGTGGGTTCGATCCCCAGGACCACCCATACACAAAAATTATTGCACGCATGACTGTAAGTCGCTTTGGATAAAAGCGTCTGCTAAATGGCATATTATTATTATTATTATTATTATTATGATGCTGCCACCCCCGTACTTCACGGTTGGGATGGTGTTCTTCGGCTTGCAAGCACCCCCTTTTTCCTCCAAACTTAACGATGGTCATTATGGCCAAACAGTTCTATTTTTGTTTAATCAGACCAGAGGACATTTCTCCAAAAAGTATGATCTTTGTCCCCATGTGCAGTTGCAAACCGTAGTCTGGCTTTTTTCTGGCGGTTTTGGAGCAGTGGCTTCTTCCTTACTGAGCGGCCTTTCAGGTTATGTCGATATAGGACTCGTTTTACTGTGGACATAGATACTTTTGTACCTATTTCCTCCAGCATCTTCACAAGGTCCTTTTCTGTTGTTCTGGGATTGATTTGCACTTTTTGCACCAAAGTACGTTAATCTCTACGAGACAGAACGCATCTCCTTCCTGAGCGGTATGACGGCCGCGTGGTCCCATGGTGTTTATACTTGCGTACTATTGTTTGTACAGATGAACGTGTTACCTTCAGGCTTTTGGAAATTGCTCCCAAGGATGAACTAGACTTGTGGAGGTCTACAATTTTTTTTCTGAGGTCTTGGCTGATTTCTTTTGATTTTCCCATGATGTCAAGCAAAGAGGCACTGAGTTTGATGGTAGGCCTTGAAATACATCCACAGGTACACCTCCAATTGACTCAAATGATGTCAATTAGCCTATCAGAAGCTTCTAAAGCCATTGCATAATTTTCTGGCATTTTCCAAGCTGTTTAAAGGCACAGTCACTTTAGTGTATGTAAACTTCTGACCCACTGGAATTGTGATACAGTGAAATAATCTGTCTATAAACAAATGTTGGAAAAATTACTTGTGTCATGCACAAAGTAGATGTCCTAACCGACTTGCCAAAACTATAGTTTGTTAACAAGAAATGTGTGGAGTGGATGAAAAACAAGTTTTAATGACTAAGTGTATGTAAACTTCCGACTTCAACTGTACCAACACAGCAGCCACACTGATCTGTCTACACCATCCAGGCGTGTGTGTGTTCATGACACTATTCACTCTATACACACAACCTCAAGTCTCTAGGGACCACCCCCACTGTTGGGATGCTGGTCTATGTGTGTGTTGCTCAGATCACTCTTAACTCATTAGCTGTGTGTCAGAGTATGCAGAACCACAAAGCAATAAGCTTGTCTTCGCTGCCAGGCTTACTCACATGCTTGCAGTCACTTTCACAAATCAATCCACATACATAAACACAGACAGAGAGACACAGACACGCATATATGTATCTACTGTATGTATCTACTGTATGTATCTACTGTACCTTCTCGTAGTATTTGATGTCATACTCCATTATGACTCCATTGGGTTGGTCAGGCTCGTGCCACTGCAGAGTGACGCTGTTCTGACTGGCGTTCTCCTGGCGAATGGCTATCACCTGGGAAGGGGCTGAACAGAAAGCAGGAAACAGGAAGTACACACACACATAAAAAAGAAAAGAAAACCAGAACATACATACATCAATGTTCCATGGACCACAGGGTGGCTATCCAACTACAATGCGTCAATATATGTCCAAATACGGTGCATTCGGAAAGTATTCAGACCCCTTGACTTTTTCCAAATTTTGTTAAAATTGATTAAATTGTTATTTTCCCCCTTATCAATCTACACAATACCCCATAATGAAAACAGGTTTTTAGAAATGTTGGCAAATGTATTAAACATAAATAACTGAAATATCACATTTACATAAGTATTCAGACCCTTTACTCAGTATTTTGTTGAAGCACCATTGGCAGCGATTACAGCCTCGAGTCTTCTTGGGTATGAAGCTACAAGCTTGGCATACCTGTATTTGGGGAGTTTCTCCCATTCTTCTCTGCAGATCCTTTCTAGCACTGTCAGGTTGGATGGGGAGTGTCGCTTCACAGCTATTTTCAGGTCTCTCCAGAGATGTTCGATCGGGTTCAAGTCCGGGCTCTGGCTGGGCCACTCAAGGACATTCAGAGATGTCCTGAAGCCACTCCTGCGTTGTCTTGGCTGTGTACTTTGGGTCGTTGTCCTGTTGTAAGGTGAACCTTCGCCCCAGTCTGAGGTCCTGAGCACTCTGGAGCAGTTTTTCATCAAGGATCTCTCTGTACTTTGCTCAGTTCATCTTTCCCTCGATCCTGACTAGTCTCCTAGTCCCTGCCGCTGAAAACCATCCCCACAGCATGCCACCACCATGCTTCGCCATAGGGATGGTGCCAGGTTTCCTCCAGACGTGACATTTGGCATTCAGGCCAAAGAGTTCAATCTTGGTTTCATCAGACCAGAGAATCTTGTTTCTCATGGTCTGAGAGTCCTTTAGGTGCCTTTTGGGCTGTCATGTACCTTTTACTAAGGAGTTACTTCCGTCTGGCCACTCTACCATAAAGGCCTGATTGGTGGAGTGCTGCAGAGATGGTTGTCCTTCTGGAAGGTTATCCCATCTCCACAGAGGAACTCTGGAGCTTGGTCAGAGTGACCATCAGGTTCTTGGTCACCTCCCTGACCAAGGCCCTTCTCCCCCAATTGCTCAGTTTGGCCGGGCGGCCAGCTCTCGGAAGAGTCTTGGTGGTTCCAAACTTCTAACATTTAAGAATGTTCTTGGGGACCTTCAATGCTACAGACATTTTTTGGTGCCCTTCCCCAGATCTGTGTCTCGACACAATCCTGTCTCAGAGCTTGGTTTTTGCTCTGACATGCATTGTCAACTGTGGGACCTTATATAGACAGGTATGTGCCTTTCCAAATCATGTCCAATCAATTGAATTTACCACAGGTGGACTCCAATCAAGTTGAAGAAACATCTCAAGGATGATCAATGGAAACAGGATGCACCTGTTTCGAGTCTCATAGCAAAGGGTCTGAATACTTATGTAAATAAGGTAGTTCAGTTTTTTATTTTTAATACATTTGCAAAAATTTCTAAAAACCTGTTTTTGCTTTGTCATTATGGGGTATTGTGTGTAGATAGATGAGGAAAATGTTTTATTCAATCAATTTTAGAATAAGGCTGTAACGTATGAAAATTTTGAAAAAGTCAAGGGGTCTGAATACTTTCCGAATGCACTGTATGTATCATGCAGCCTAGCTGTTGAGATGTTATTTTTAATGTGTAAACTGTATGTGTTTCATCCACAGGTAAAACAACCTACATGATTAAATGTATATGTTTTAAATCCATACAGGTGTCCCCTACCTGCCTGGTTCGTGGTGATGTTGACAGATGTGAAGGGCGCCGGCTCATTGCTTAAGTGAGTCACCGCATTCATCGCTAGGATACGAAAGGTATAGTTGGCGTGGGCAACCAGGTTTAGAACTGTCACCCAGGGTTCGGTCAGCGAGCTCTGCCGGGGAACAAACCGCACCGGGACCACCCCAGAGTGGTCCACCGTCCCTCCACCCCCTCCTCCCATCCCCTCTCCCCCACCAGTTCTCCCCATCCCTGCTGTACAGTCCTCACACTGCCCCCCCTCCCCAGAGCACTTCTGACAGAGCACACTGTACAGCAGGTCACTGCGACCCCCCGAGTCCATCGGTCGCCCCCACTCCAGATTCACTGACGTACCGTTAACCGACGATATCACGTTTACTGGAGCTGTTGGGGGGCCTGAGGAGAGGAAAGAGAGAAAGAGGTGTATATTTTAATGTGTTTCTTCCTGACTATCACCTGAACCAGTGGAATGTGCTTCTATTATCTCTTTCAAATGTTTATGTTCATCTAGTGTTTAGAGAGGCCCTCTAAAAGGAAAATTCTAATCAAAATTTCATCGAAAAGTAGCATATGCCCAGTTAACCAAATCACCCAGGTCACCCAGGCCATGTGTGAGAGAGGTGGACCTACTGTGCAGCGGATTGGTCGGTCTGTGTGTGTGCATGCCTGCGTGCGTTTGTGAGTTACGTACTTGTGCAGGGTGCGGCAGGGGGGTCTGTGGGGGCCCTGTAGTGGCTGGTGTCACAGGGGCAGTAGAGGGCAGCTCTGGTCTCTGAGTGGCTGTGTAGAGGACACCTCCCACACGACCCATCACCTGCCATCGGCTTATAGAAACCCACCTCACACGCTGCATTGGGAAGAGAGGGTTGGAGAGAGGAGGGGGAAGAGAGAGGGGTGGAGAGAGAGGGGGGGAGAGAGAGGGGGAGAGAGAGGGGGGGAGAGAGAGAGGGGGAGAGCAAAGGGGAGAGAGAGAGAGAGAAAGAGAGAGAGGGGGAGAGGGGGGGAGAGAGAGAAGGGAAGGGAGAGAGTGGAAAGAAAGGGAGAGAGGGACAAATATTAATATGGATACGCATATGAGCTTGGAAAATATTATTCTTTGGTCCACCCCATTATTTCCAGGGCAACTCCAACAGTCAATATGTAATTGGAACCCTGCATAGACTCACTGACTGGAGAGAAGGGAGAAGAAAGTTAGACTTTTACACACACATTTGGGCCAAAGAGGCAGTGCACTGTTGATACTCCCATAAGAAAAATCTAAATGTAGACCATGTTTCAACCTTATTCAGGACACATACTACATATTCACTTTAAACTCTGCACTGATTAATAATACAGGCTCCGCTGATAAATATATTCTCTTTAGAATGCAGAAATATGGTATATATGGCAGGGGAAACGGAAACTGAAATATCTGGCAACATCATGGTTTCATCGTGCCTCCTCAGTAAAAAATAAAAAAGCTTACCAAAATGTCTCTGCTAGGTTAAGAATGCAACAAGATCTCAAAGTTTTACCAATTTGACTTCAGATTCTGACGTTTATTCAAATTTCAAAGGTGCTCCAAAACATCAGATTCCGTAGTGTTTTTGACACCCTGGGTTGACTCCTCCTGCTCAGCATCATTACATTTCTCCAAACCTCAAATTTAAAGTTGCTCCAAACTTCAAATTGCGAGTTAAAGGTTAAGGATTGGTTTTGGATAGGGTTAAAACATTAACCCTTTACACTCGTGGAAATTGGCCTATATGGACTGGGCTAAATTGAAATGTTTCTTACAGAAGAAATATGAAATGCATGTGCATAAGCATGATAGCAATTGAAATGGAACAGTTTGGAAATAGTGGGAACATTATTAGACAAAAGTTGAGGACACAACAGTTCACCTGACACAAGACTGATTTTATGTGCATGTTACATTTACTGTACTTTTTGCTGTATTTGTTGATAACGAAATCGGACAATATTCTGGATACATTTAGTAGCATGATAAGAATATTCCTGGAAAATGTAGGGTATGTGCAACGTAAGACAAACAAAATGACAAGGGTTTGAGTGAGAGGACTAACTGGTGTCTCCAAGTGGCCACACACCTCTCCAAAGTGTGCAGAGTTCCTAAGTAATTTCAATACACTTTTATGACTCAAAGAAGAGTCTTCAACTATAAGGTGCTTTATTGAACCCTCCTAGCTGTGCCGTTGAGGAACTAGAGCAAGCAATCTTGTAGTTGTTTTGTTTGGAACACAGCCCTGCCATCACACAATTACTGTTGTTGTTTACGCAATCCAAAAACTGACCATTATAAATCGCAATCTGGGTCAGGTGGGCATAATTTGAAAGCTTGTTCTATTGCCAACATAACTAGCTAAGTTATAAAATACGATCTTTCACAGGGCAATTCAGAAAAACAGATTGTAATTTTGGTGCGCATAGAAAGGAGTCATGCGTGCATTTAGGTGCGTGTTCAGGGGCGGTGTGTTCATTAGGGCGATATGGGCGACGCACTGCCAAACGGGAAAAGGAAGGGATTTTTTTTCTAATCAATTATATCACGGCAACAGTAGTTATCAGTGTTCTAATCTAGACGTCTGATCTGCCACTAAATGTCCAATCAGGCTAAAGTCGTGCTTCAAATGGCCCCGCCCCTTTTGGGGCGATTTCAGTCAGGTTGAAAATCGCCCCAGAAGTCTCTCATAGACTCTCATGTAAAATCTTTTTTTTTCAAATATCAGAGCTTTCAATACAATCTCTATGGGTTCCGGGAGGGCTCGCACTTACGCGCTTTCGTCATACGTAACATAACCATGAACGTAACTAAGAAAAGAGCGGGTAGCAGCGTCAATCAATTCACGTACTACTGTCAAGATGGCTAGCGTTCAGTGCAACTCGATTGTCTCTTTGAAAGAAGTTCCTTTTTGTCGGCGAACAAATCAAGATAAATTGGCAACGAAACAATTAGGACCTCCCAGACCAAATTTAATAATTCAACAGGTTTCTACTAAAGGGGGAAAGTCCTACACCCGAGGATTTTCCAAAAATTGGTACGAACGAAAGACCTGGCTAGCAGGCTGCGATGTAGCTAATGCAGTCTTCTGCTACTCCTGCTTACTCTTTCACCCTGAAGGCGGCACAGCAGACAGCACCGCTTGGACAGCGACTGGTGTAACGGACATGCACCATCTTTCAGAAAAGATTAAGAAACATGAGCTGTCAAAGACCCACATGGATAGCTGTTTGAGATTGTCTGCTTTGGGGAGAGTGAACATTGCCACTCAACTGGATGAGGGATACAGGCTAGCTGTCCGCCGCCACAACGATGAGGTTAGCAAGAACCGTCACATCCTCAGCCGGCTAATCCAGTGTGTGAAGTTTTGCGGAGTGTTTGAGTTAGCTTTGCGAGGCAAAGATGAAACTGAGGGCTCCACCAACCCTGGTATTTTTCTTGGACTTGTCAACTTTGTGGCACAATTAGATGAGGTGTTTTATGGAAATGCATATTGTTTATGCAGTGTTGAGGAATGTGAAAGAACACCCTTGATTATTTTTACTGTGATAACTTATTTTGCTTTTGTAAGCCAACACTTTTGAGATCAGTCAATAAATGCTTCTGGTATTGACTTATATGCTGCCCCTGTCTTCATGTTGTTGCTGGACATATCTTTTTTAAAATGTGTGTAGGTCACCTAAATCATCAGAAAAATTGCCCCCCCTGAGAATTTTTTCAGGAGCCGCCACTGTGCGTGTTCCACTGCGAATTTTCATCACAATATGCAAACATAGGCTCATTCTGTTCAGAACAACCCAGGGTATAACGCCATGTCATCTTATAACTGTACATCAAACATAGTGATCATAAATGTTGACACTGTATGCAGTGGGAAAAAAAGTATTTAGTCAGCCACCAATTGTGCAAGTTCTTCCACTTAAAAAGATGAGAGAGGCCTGTAATTTTCATCATAGGTACACGTCAACTATGACAGACAAAATGAGATTTTTTTTTCTCCAGAAAATCACATTGTAGGATTTTTAATGAATTTATTTGCAAATTATGGTGGAAAATAAGTATTTGATCAATAACAAACGTTTCTCAATACTTTGTTTTATACCCTTTGTTGGCAATGACACAGGTCAAACGTTTTCTGTAAGTCTTCACAAGGTTTTCACACACTGTTGCTGGTATTTTGGCCCATTCCTCCATGCAGATCTCCTCTAGAGCAGTGATGTTTTGGGGCTGTCGCTGGGCAACACGGACTTTCAACTCCATCCAAAGATTTTCTATGGGGTTGAGATCTGGAGACTGGCTAGGCCACTCCAGGACCTTGAAATGCTTCTTACGAAGCCACTCCTTCGTTGCCCGGGCGGTGTGTTTGGGATCATTGTCATGCTGAAAGACCCAGCCACGTTTCATCTTCAATGCCCTTGCTGATGGAAGGAGGTTTTCACTCAAAATCTCACAATACATGGCCTCATTCATTCTTTCCTTTACACGGATCAGTCGTCCTGGTCCCTTTGCAGAAAAACAGCCCCAAAGCATGATGTTTCCACCCCCATGCTTCACAGTAGGTATGGTGTTCTTTGGATGCAACTCAGCATTCTTTGTCCTCCAAACACGACGAGTTGAGTTTTTACCAAAAAGTTATATTTTGGTTTCATCTGACCATATGACATTCTCCCAATCCTCTTCTGGATCATCCAAATGCACTCTAGCAAACTTCAGACGGACCTGGACATGTACTGGCTTAAGCAGGGGGACACATCTGGCACTGCAGGATTTGAGTCCCTGGCGGCGTAGTGTGTTACTGATGGTAGGCTTTGTTACTTTGGTCCCAGCTCTCTGCAGGTCATTCACTAGGTCCCCCCATGTGGTTCTGGGATTTTTGCTCACCGTTCTTGTGATCATTTTGACCCCACGGGAGATGAGATCTTGCGTGGAGCCCCAGATCGAGGGAGATTATCAGTGGTCTTGTATGTCTTCCATTTCCTAATAATTGCTCCCACAGTTGATTTCTTCAAACCAAGCTGCTTACCTATTACAGATTCAGTCTTCCCAGCCTGGTGCAGGTCTATAATTTTGTTTCTGGTGTCCTTTGACAGCTTGGTTCAAACAGGTGCCATTAATACAGGTAACGAGTGGAGGACAGAGGAGCCTCTTAAAGAAGAAGTTACAGGTCTGTGAGAGCCAGAAATCTTGCTTGTTTGTAGGTGACCAAATACTTATTTTCCACCATAATTTGCAAATAAATTCATTAAAAATCCTACAATGTGATTTTCTGGAGAAAATAAATCTCAATTTGTCTGTCATAGTTGACGTGTACCTATGATGAAAATTACAGGCCTCTCTCATCTTTTTAAGTGGGAGAACTTGCACAATTGGTGGCTGACTAAATACTTTTTTTCCCCACTGTATGTGTTTTATGATATGGAAATGTAGTGTACATTTGGACTCACGGGTGTTTGGCTTGCTTATATGACATCAAAACTGTATTTATTATACTCCTCAGCATCTGATCTTTAAAAATACACGGAGTCTGCTTAATTCCCTCACTCGACAACAAAACATTTCCAAAAGATGCCCAAATAGCACGAGGGATGTGGGCAACTTCTTGTCGCGTGTGGTGTTCAAGTTCAGAGCAGCCGTCAGTCAAAACCCATATAGCATTGTGAAGCACAGAGCCTGAGCTCTGACGAAATTTATAGCATTTTACTGTACAGCCATTGCGTCCCAAATCTGCCATTTTCAACCCGTATACGGGTACAAGTGTAAAGGGATACGTTTAGGGATTCATTCCAAATGTCTAAGGTAAGAGTTAAGGTTTGGGATAGGGTTAAAACAAAAAAATAAAACAT